AGCCCCACATTGGGTGTAGAGATTAAAGTAAATAAATAAACAAAAAAAAAGAAAAGTGAATTGCTTTGTAGTTTTACATCCTGTTTGGTATCCACCTCATTCTTTTTCCTTCATGCATGGCTATATGCACACCGTTAAATCACAGTATCATTACTCTAACTGTGCATTGAGTCAGGGCTGGTGTCTGAGGAGTTGTCATGTATCGTCCTGACTTCTGATGTATTCCCAATCAGACCTATTCAGACTAATGTACCATATTGAATGTGATCATAAATTCAAGTTTGTAATTTTAACACTAATTAATTTTAAATCACAGCTTTCCCTGACAACTCAAGGGTACTTCATAATTAGGTATAGACCTGTGAGTGGACCCAATTCTCTGGTATATAAAACACATAGTGAATATATGTGTAGGTTTATGTACAATGTATGTTTTGCTAAATTCAGAATGAATATTTCAACAAAAACACTAAAATTCGAAAAGATATACTCACCCCTATGTTTATTGCAGCATTATTTACAATAGCCAAGATATGGAAGCAACCCAAGTATCCATCCATAGATGAATGGATAAGGAAAATGTGGTGTATATATTTATAGTGGAAGAATACTCAGCCGTAAAAAAAAAAAAATGAGATTTTGCCATTTTCAACAACATGGATGGACCTAGAGGATATTATGCTAAGTTATTATAAGTCAGACAGAGAAAACAAGTATCATGATTTCACTTATATGTGGAGTCTAAAAAACAAAACAAAACAAAAAAACAGACTCATACAGAGAACAAACAGGTAGTTGGCAGAGAGGGGGGTAAGAGAGATAGGCAAAATAGATGAAGGAGATTAAGAGGTACAGACTTCCAGTTAGAAAATAAATAAAATAAATAAATAAATCAAAGTGATGAAAAGGACAGTATAGGAAATAGAGTCAATAAATTTGTTTTAAATTTATATGGTGATAGATGGTAGCTACAATTATCATGGTGAGCACTGAGTAAGATACTGAGTTGTCGAATCATTGTGTTATTTGCCTGAAACAAATATAACATTATATATCAACTATATTTCAATAATAAAAATTTTATTAATAATGTTTTATTTATCATAACTTCATAACATTTTTTGATATCTGATAGGACTATGTCTTTTTTTTTTTAAGTAGGCTCCCCACCCAATGTGGGGCTTGAACTCAGGACCCTGAGATCAAGAGTCATATGCTCTACAGATTGAGCCAGCCAGGCACCCCAATAATAAAACTTTCCTTAAAAAGAATGAATATTTTGTTTCAGTACTATGAGATTTTGAGGTTTTCCTTTTAGATCAGAACAAGGTGCTTGGAATGTTTTGACTTGGTGACTCTTTTCTATGAAAGACATCTAGAAACTGGCAGGTTTAGGCTGAGGTGCTGTTATCAACAATTCAGTAAGTTGTAGCAGTTATTTTAAAGTTGTATGAAAAAAGTCACAGTCATCCAGCTAATGATAGGGAGGTAACAGAGAGGGAGCCCTAAGAAATATAGAACAACACTGACGTGTAATTGGTATCATTCATAAATCAGCTGCTAACCCTGCTTGTCCATCAAACACCTTCTCACAAGGAAAAAATAAGGTTCGCCTCCAGAGCTTTAACTTATTTCTCTTCCAAAAACTTCATTGCTATTGAATTGTTCATGGTCAACAAAATACCATATATAAAATTATTTTAATTTACATAGGCTGATGATTTCATTACAAATAGGAATTTCTCTTGTAAAAGTTAATGAACTTTGTCTCTGATTTTGACATGCAACCAGGTACTCCCAAAAAAAAAGAGGGACACAGAAAAAAATTCGATTTTGAAAGCCAGATATGCTGCAGAATCTAAAGATAGGGTTAACTATTCCAGCTTTCTTAAATAATTCTAATTGAAATAGAAGTGGGCTGGAATTTGTGATTTCTCAGGGAAAGTGGTACAAGCATTTGTAATAGCAGAAACATCTCAGGAAACTATTGGCTTAATGGCATGTGGCAAATTATTTACCCTGAGGGGAGACACTGACTGAGGTCACGGCAGATAGATGAGTCCCAGATGTGACACATTTTCATTATATTCCACGCAGGAAGCTGACACATAATTCAAGTATGATTAGGAATTATTAACAGCTTTGGGATGCTGTCGAAATATTCCAATCCTACTATAGTATTTTATTAGTAAAACCATTAAGACTGTCTTTAAATCATATTTAAGTGTTTTCTTATATTTTCACTTTCTTGGAAATGTGAAAAAGCCCCCTCTCGAATGCTAGCTTTTTAGGGCTTGACACGTTTCAGGAGGGACGTGAGCACATGCTGCAAAGTCAGGCAGAGACAACTGGTCATTTGTCATTTCCTCTTTGGCCGCAGAACAGGTCCCAAGGCAGCTCATCCTACAAGCCATGGCGGATGTCTCTCTGGATTGAGTTTAGATCATGCTCTAGGCAAAACTATAATGTGTCTCTTGTGCACGTCCGCCCTCTTTTTATTGTGTCTACACACCACATCATTGTGCCTACCTAGCTTGAGACAGCCACGCTCAGCTCCTCACATTCTTTCTCTACCCCTCCGCCACCGCCCTCCTGTAGGATCTCTGCCTCAAATTGTACCCACACCTAGCAAGTTACCACCAGGTTCCCTCCTCCTCCTAAGCCGAGTGGGGACGCGGGTTAATCGTCCCATGGTTCTCCGTGCCTCTTAGGATGAAGTCCAAACTCATTAACATGACTTTCAAAGCCCTGTTCCCTGCAGACCAACCCAACCAGCCTGGCCTCCTCGAGCTTCCCCGCCTTGCTCCAATGCTCCAACCAAACTGAATTTCTGTGGGTTCCTCAAATGGACTCATGTTCTTGCTCATCCCCAGGCCCTACCACTAGCTGTTCTCCTATATGCCTAATTCTTCCCTCCCTAACACGGGGCAATGTTCTTACGTATTTATGGAATAAAAGTAGCAAGTAATTGATTACTTAATCCATTGATTAAATCAGTTACCTTCTAGTAATACTTTAAAATATTACCTTCCGATGTATTAATGTTACCCATCTTGATTGTATTAGTGTTGTGGTCAATAGATAGATAGATAATAGATGATAGATAGATTTTACATATCTATGTATCTTTAGTTAGTTGTGCATGTGTATAATGAGAAGTACAGAGGAAAAATGATGTATTCATTTTATCTTGGGTGAGATAAAGTAAGATTTCTACTTCAGATTCAAAACTTTACTAATCAATGCCTTATGGACTCTTATTTTCCTTAGCTTCTCTTTAAGAGTATGTGCATCTGTAACAGGCCAGAGCATTTCAAATCCAGTAGGTGAGCATGTTTTCATTTTTACGCTCCTGTACTATACCAAGAAAAGTTAACAAGAAGCATTTCTCGGCACAGACCACAGAAAACTTTGAAAGAGCCCTTTCTTAATATTAAGATTTCTATTGTATATATGGAAACTTCTACAAAACTACTACTCGAATGATTGGCGTTAATGTTATCTGTAAAAACAAATCAGAGGGGGAGATGAACTTTTTCAGAGAGATGATGGACTCTGAGAAAAACTGAGGGTTCTAGAGGGGAGGGGGGTGGGGGGATGGGTTAGCCTGTTGTTGGTATTAAAGAGGGCACGTTCTGCGTGGAGCACTGGGTGTTATACGCAAACAATGAATCATGGAACCCTACATCAAAAACTAATGATGTAATGTATGGTGATTAACATAACATAATAATAAAAAAATATATAATAATGGGGGGAATGACTATGTAAAACCATTACAAAACAAGGTTCTCAGTTTGGAGAGTATTTTCTAAAACTTTTTTTCATCTCGTGTATTGTTTTTAATCCAACTATGAAAACAATGTTTTCTGAGTAAGCAAGTTGAAATAGAAATTCATTCAAGCACTGCATTCACTGAATACATTTCCTTTCCTGATTATATTTGCTTTATTTCGGTCCCTAGGCTTGACTGCCGAGGTGCACGTAGACTCCCTAAAACAAAAAGGAGCCATTAAGCGCACGCTCTTCCTTGACAACCATCAGTCCCATCGCATCTTCCCCCTTCGCATAAAGCGGCAGAAATCCCTCCACTGCCAGGATTTTGTCGTTTACCTCCGAGTAAGTGTTCCAGAATCACCTTTCTGGCCTCTAACGTTCAGATTCAAATTCCAACCATTTTTCTCTATTGAATCATCGTACTTGTCCACAGAGATCCACATCTATTTTCCTTTTATAGGAGCAAACTTTATTACAAGGCCCCTCGCTCCATTCTTGGGCTCCGAGGCAGCTGACCTGATGGTGTGTGGCTGTTCGTTCCCAAGGCTTCTTTCTGTCTTGCACACTATCCTGATACTGGTACTAACTCGGGTGGTTTTCATTTCTCACTGCCTCCCTCCCAAAAAAACCATAAACGTGAAACGTAATTTATTTGAATTTTTCTCCTACGTGAGTTATGTTTGGCCAGATGTTATCAATGCCCATTTCAGAGCCAACTCGGGAAAACGTTTAGGCAATTCAACACTTTTATTGAAAGTAATTGATAATTATATTTTTAAAGAAATGTATGTTTACATAAGTCCAAAGCCTACCGTGAAATAGAAGAGCCAAAATATTTATAACACTATTATTCCAGCTTCTTAGCAGTTGTGGGGTTTATCACTCTCTCTCTCTCGTTTTGTCTCCTCCCTTAACGGGACTTAGTGAGGGGGTGAGAGAACCCACTGAAAGCAAAGTTCACAAACGTGCTCTAGAATACTCTAGAATGAAAAGCTGGGTGCATGACCCTTGAGTCTCATTACGACCGTGACTGGCACACATCTGAAGGTGGCATTTCCTCTGCGTGGTCTGAGGTGTTCCCGTGTGCTCAGGACCTCTGTTCCTGTTACCCCCTCCACTCTGAAGGGGGTTCTGTTTCATTTTCTGAGGGAGCTTCAGGGGCGCTGAAGGTGTTTTGAAGTTCATGCCAGCTTAAAGAGATGACAAGAGAGGAGGAGAATCAAGATGTTTCCTCCCCCCAAGCCCAGGAGGACTCGTAAATGCTGCCAACCTCATGAAAACAAAAATCCCAATTCACAAAACTTTCCATGACACCTGTTACATATATAAGTAGGGTTTTTTTTCCTTTGCAATTTGACCCATCTGGGTGGGAACCTGAAGACTGCCTCCCGAAGCATATATTTCAATGAAGCCCCAGCCCTAAATGATTTCGTCCCTGAACGTGTATTAATTAAGCTGCCTACTACATCCCACATGAACCTAAGCCTGCTGCCGTGATAATCACCTGACCATTCACTTCCACTGGCTGAAGTCAAACGGCGCCTGCCTCTCAGGGGCTAACATCTTGTAGCTATTTCCTGGAGTCTTCCTTGAGTGTGTGATTATTTTCCCTAGGATGAAACTGAATTCCGAGATAAATTATCTCCAATCAACATTAGCTTGAATTACAGTTTGGATGAATCCACCTTTAAAGAAGGCCCAGAAGTGCAACCGATATTGAATTACTACATGGAAAACACCGTGACCCAACAGGTAGGTCCCTGACAATCTGGGATGGTTGATTCCCAGTCAGGGCCCTGGGCATCGCTCCTGTGACCTTAACACCAAACCCAGCCTCTTGGATTTGCATTCCTGCACACCAGCTCGTCCCACTGGGGAGATTTTCCTAACGTGTTTCCTGAAACACTGCATTGTCCTATTTTCAGAAGTCCTTCCCCTTGAGCAACCAAGATTTAATTTGTTCAAACTGTGGCTCTTAAGGGAGGAAATACAGCTTGTGATCCTCAAAACACCGCCAGAGTGGCCTTCTTTAGGGACACGGCAGAAGGAAGGGGAATTGGGCTATGATGTCAACGAGGCTGTGTTGGGGGATCACTGCCTCGCCTAGGGTGTCTAGCGGGGCCGAATCAGGCCGCCGAGTGGAATGAAGGCTTTGCTTTAACTTGTGGAACTGTTCATACTTTTCAAGAGAAGGGGTGTGATTCAGGTTTTCCCAGATTAATCCTGATGCCTGTTTGCACAACACAGGCTCACATCCTGGTGGATTGTGGCAAAGACAACGTATGCATTCCTGACTTGAAGCTGTCAGCTAGACCGTAAGTTTAAATAAATAAACGTGTACGCTTTATCTAATGGAATACAGGTGTTTATTTAAAGCTTCTCTGGAGAAAGTATACACTTCCAACTACTACTACCAAAAAAAAAAAAAAAATACTCTGCATGAAATTCTTGAGCTTGGCTACACTTTGGGTTAGCCTGTGTTTTGGGTCAGTTCTTTGTCACTGGTATCAAGTGACATACCCTAAGATTTTGCCTGGGCTGTTTCATCTTTCAGCAAAAGTGGGGGAAAAGTGCTTGTTCAAAGTGAACCCCTCTGGGCGGGGGTTGGGGGGTGATTCAGGTTGTGTGTACTTGCCTCAGTCCTGGGAGCGGAGACCCAGGCTGCTTGTACCTACACCTTACCCAAACTAGCTTTTGCAGCACGTCATGACTCAAAAGCATCCTTAAAATTGTCAAAATGAAATCAATTTTTTAATTTTCTGAAAAAAGAAAAATTAATGGCACTCTGTGGAGTAAAGCAGAAGGTGTCCCAAAATCAAATTAAGAATCAGAGTGCTTCGGGACCCCTGGGTGGTTCAGTCGGTTAAGCATCTGCCTTCGGCTCAGGTCATGATCCCAGGGTCCTGGGATGGAGCCCCGTGTCAGGCTCCCTGCTCAGTAGGGCTCCCTCTGCCCCTCTTCCCTGCTCACGCTCTCTCTCTGTCTCTCCCCCTCTCTGAATGAATAAAGTCTTTAAAAAAAAAAAAAAAAGGAAAGAATCAAACGGCCTCCCAGTTGCCTGTAATGGAGAGTCACCAATCCAGCACTGGTGACTCACTACATTTTGTTATGGAAAGAAATGAGACCAAGATAAAACATCCTCTGCTGGAAAAAGCAGACTCATGCTCCTCACACCCCAACACACACACACCCAAGGCCCATCCCACCACCAGTGTTTGGAATCTGCTTGGCAACCTTTCAGGGGATTTTTTCCCAAACTTCCCAGTTTAGCCAGTATCCAAAGCAATAGCTTTGATTAAGGGTCAAAAGTGGCAAAAGGCATTTCCAAATATTGGCTCAGTTCGAGGTTTGGAGAGAATTAAATTTCCTCGAAATCCTCAGTCAGCTATTTGAGATCTTATTTTACCTGCCTCTTTCTTCCTCTTACGGTTCACTTGGCATTCACAACACCCTCCCTTATTCATTTCTAAACCGTCTCTCCCTTTTCTCCCACTGCTCATCTTCTGTTGGGCATGTTCAGTGCTGTGCGTGTTCAGTGATGTGCCAGAGCGGCCTCATCCTGGCTTGTGAGCAAACTGTCAAATTTCCTGGAATTTTTGCTGGCAGATTAAGTAGGTCCGTAGCCTGAAATTGACCACAATGGGAGGATTTACACCCCTGGAATCAGCAAATGAAAATTTCAAGAATTGAAATCAGCTACAAATTGGTATTCCCCTGTTTTTTCTTTTCTTTTCTTTTCTTTCTTTTTTTTTTTTTTGAGAACTCGTTAAACATTACCAGGATGTTTTCCTGCCCTGCCCATACAGATGTGGTTCTCTCAGTTCTTTTCACAGACCCTCATGATGAACCATCTTCTTGTCCAAGTCTTATATTCCCACATCTTTCTTCTTTTCTTCCAAGTCCTTAAATAAGGTATCTATGAATCCAGAGAAGTATGATACCTAATATTCCTTTTAAACTGCGTTTTTAGAGATAAGCATCAGGTCATCATTGGAGATGAAAATCATCTTACGCTCATAATCAATGCAAGAAATGAAGGAGAAGGTGCCTACGAAGCTGAACTCTTCGTGATAATACCAGAAGAGGCAGATTATGTTGGGATTGAACGCAGCAACAAGGTAATGCCTTGCACATTATTCGAAGCAGGAAAAGAGCTCGTTATATATTGGAAGTCAAATCGATGTTAAGTAGAGCCATCTTAGCTGAGACTTTCTCCCCAAATAAAGGAGGACAAAAAGGCACTTTACTTTGGTCATCATAATAACAATGAGCCATGAAGGGGGGTGGTCTTAAGCAGTATTCATATCTTTCTAGGGCATAGTGCAGAGATAAATTGGCCAAAGATCGAGAGCTGAAGCAAGGAAGAGAATACAACTGGCTGAAAGGAGAAGCTCCCTAATGCGATCTATCAGCTTGATTCCCCTGTTCACTCCCACCCTCGCTGGCTGTTTTCAGACCTTTGTTTTTAGTTCCTTTACATTTCAAGCAGGGTCCCGGGAGGTCTGGTTTTCATTACTGCTTACGGAGGAAGGTCCGACCAGTCCCAGCTGAGCACTGATAACAGCCGAGACAGGCACTGGAAAGGAAACACATGCATTTTTCTTCCTTTGTGGCCCACCTTTTTGGGACCGGGACCAAGAAAAGCCAGGTCTTCGTCATTTGTGGGTCGGGCAATGCCACCATTTATTAAACTGACAACAATGTTTTTTATAATCTTTCCTTATCAGACCACGAATCTTCTCGCTCAGGCCATCCTCAGGTTCTGCTGTGTTTTTAACCACTTGGTCTAAAAAACCATTATAAATACAGTGCAGGATAACGGAGAGAGTCCTTCGTCTTCAGAAATGTACAGAAATGTACAATCAAGGATAGAGACCCAGCCTAACACTCTTTCACGGGAACCAGGCACAACGGGAGCTCCTTCAGGACACGCTGATAGGTTTACTCCTTTACGATTTGTTAACTGTCTGCTGGTTTCCAAATACCACAGACTCCGAGGAGTTTGAGCATTCTAATGACTACATACTTCAATGAAGAATAATTCCTCTAAAGAGATGTTAGCAAGTTGTTGTGGTGTTGATACTTTATAGGCATTTAAAAACGTAAGGAATGCAAAATCCTCTACTCAAAATCCTCTACTCACACCTCTAGTCTTGTGGTTTATGTGTTGGTTAAATTATCTTCTTAGTAAAAAAAATAAACCAAGGTGAGTAATAATCGTGTATCTTTGGCAGTCATAAAATCATCACGAGTTTCTGTTGCAGAAATTTGTAGAAAAAGATCACCTACACACACTCACACACAAAAACTGTATAAACAAACAAAAAAGTTCAAGTATGTTATTTTTTTAAATATTCCAGGGCTCCGCTCCTATTTTCATTTGATTCCTTCATGTCCCTCCGCCCCTGACTTCATTAAACAAAGCATCTATTCTAAAATGTTCTTTTAGCAAAACATCCAGTTTACTGTTCACTTTGTCGCGTGGAAAATACGGGAGAACATTTATCGCCTCTATCTTTGGCTGTAAACATTACAACAGACATTATCCATAATCTCAAAGAAGTCCTTAACTATTTTTCTTCCATCGGTTTCCCTTGGGCAGAGATTTAGCTCAGTCTTTGAATTTCACATGACTAAGCCACGTTCTAATTTATTCTTTGTTTTTAAGCAGTTTGAGGTTTGTGTACCTTTTTATTTAAACTCAGTTCAAGTTTTTTTGTGTTTTTTTTAGACATTTTTCTCCAGGGGGAAACATATTAGGATTATCTGATTGTAAGTTTTTTATTCTTTTGTTAAAAACATTCATCTTTTTGGAAATGTAGATGTTGACCATCTCTTTCTCTGGAAACCTTCACTGAGCCAGACTTCATACTTCTCTTTGGTATCTTTTTTCTAATAAGGGCCTATGCGCTTTATATTATGATTCTTATTGATATTAGTATTGTTGTAAAATAGATATAATATAAAATTTACCATTTTAGCCACTTTTTAAATGCGCAGTTCAGTGGCATTAAGTACCTTCTTGGGCAACACCCAGCACAGAACGTTTTCATATTCCCAGATGGAGACGCTGTACTCACCCAACACTAAGTCCCTCTTCCCCCAGCCCCTGGTAAGCCCCGTTCGACTTTCTGTCTGTGAATTTGGCTATTTGGGGGACCTCCCATGCTGCCTTCCTCGGCCTCACACCCACCTCACATTCAGTGTGTCCAGAACCAGGCTTGTCATCTTCCCAAACTCACGCTTCTCCCCCACTCCCATTTCTTGCCTCAGAGAATGGTACCGGTAACCACCTCGTTTCTACAGCCCACTCAGCCCCGGGCTCTCCAGTTCGTCTCTTCTCTCCACCCAACTGCCACTGTCACTGCCTTCATCTGGGCTGGCGTGATCTTTTACTGAGATGACCACAGTCTTCTAACTCATCTCCCTGCCTGCCTGCCTCCCCACGGGGTACTCCTCTCCCTACCATGTAAATCTGACCCTACTGCTTCTTGCTGAAGACCCTCACTAGGTCGCCATCACTTTTAGGATAAAATCCAAATCCCTCCAATAACTAACAAGGCCCTTAATTCTATCGCCCCTGTTTACCCTTTTAGCCTCATGACAGGGCTTTGATTCTTTCCTTTACCCCACACCCTAAATTCCAGCAGGACTGATTTTGTCTCCAGTTCCTGTAATACCCATGTGCTCTCTTGCCACAGAAATTGCGGCTCCTGTTCCTTCTCTCGGACGCACCAACTGCACTCCCTCCTCCCCCATATCCAGCTGACTTCTTTCTGTTTATCCCTCAGGCTTCAGCTCGGTCATGATTGAGGCTGCAAACATTTATTGAGCAATTGAGATGGGCTGGGCACTGCTCTGAGATCTTAGATGGATTTAATTTACTTAATCCCCATTAACAGCCTTATAGAGAAACAGCAAGTCTGTCCTTATGCCCCACTTGATAGACGAGGAGAAATTCAGTAATATGCCCAAAGTTACACAGCTACTATAGAGCAGAACCGAGACTCACACCTCCACTGTTAGGTCTGATCCTGGGCTCTGAGCCACTGATCTGCACTGTCCCCCAGCAGCTTTGATGTCACTTCTTTGGGGGATGGGGCGCTGCTCTGGTCCTTAAATCTAGGTGCATAACTTCCCCTATCACTAACGGCTCTCTCCTATCCTAAAACTCCAACTGCACTGATTATGTTTCCATTGCTTGTTACGATTGCTTGTGATTACTTATTACAATTGTTAGGATCATTGGAAATTCGGTGAGGACAAGGGGTCTTTTTCATCAATGCCTGGTAAACAGCAGGTACCCAGTAAATATTTTTAGTGAATGAATAATATCTTAAGAGCTATAAATGGATTAGAGCAGGCGTGTCCCTGGAACAGCTAAGGAAAAGAATCTAGAAATATGTAGAAAAACAATCATTGTTTCACTCAGAGAAAGGAAATAAAGGTTAAAAAAAGAAAAAGAGTGGGAGGGTCTGGGGTAAGAAAAGATCTTTGATTGATGTGAAAAAAAGCTATTTCCATAAAACTGGAAAAAATGTACATATAACTTTTAACCTTTAGATAAGATAAAATATTTACTATAGAAACTAAGTCCTTAAATTATATTCAAAGGACTCATGGAAATTTTGAAAAGCTTTTGCTGGGTTCTTTTTTTTTCTGTTTTCAGGACTGAGTTAATAATTCGAACACAAAAGATCTCTCTGTACAATTAGGGTTAGATATGGGTCCTTAAGAATTTAAATACATGCTAATTCTACCTTTCAGAGGAGAGAATGTTACCAGCTTTTTGAAACTGTGTTTCTTAGCTGCTTAGAATACTAACATGTCATTCAGATTATTTGGAGAGAGCATGTATTAAATTACCTCCAGATATCAGTCATTCACTCCTTTCTCATGAGTCTAAACAGACTTTTCAGTGCTCGTGCCTCCCTGGTTGATACAGGAGGGAGGATTTTATAGTTACTTGGGTTTCTATCTCATTTCAGACTCCTCTTAGGAAGTAGTGTGAGCTACTTCGCCTCTGCATCTCCCATTTACTACTTTGTGCCCAACACTGTTCTAGGCACTGGGAATAGAACAGATACAAAACCCCCTGCTTCCCTGAAGTTAATTTTCTCAAAGCATATGATTTACTTACAAAATTCTTTACCTGGATGTGTTTGTTTAGCACTTCTTTGTTTTGGTGTTGGATCTTGGTCTTTCTGAATTAAGTGGGAAGAACGGAATGGAGGACGGTTTCTGAAACTTTTACATGAAAAGTCACATTACTTCCTTAGATAAAATTTCAGTAGAGCTGACAGATGGACCAATGGTCCTCATATTCAGAACCCTCTTCCTTGGACCTCTCTGGGGACAGAAATTCCCAAAAGGTTGCTCCTTTGTGAAAGTCTTCCTATTGCAAGCTTATCTCTGGGAATGAGGGTGACAGGGCATATATTAGTGGCACTTAGTAAATTAGAGGGAAATAATGCCTCTTCAAACTTGAGTTTTTATACTTTCTAACAAGAACAGGATATAGGGGGAGGAAGGGAGCAGGAAGCACTAGGTAAGCAGAAAAGTATTCTCTTCCCATCTTAAGTATTTAGAGGATGGAACTAAGATTGATTGTATAATCTCAAACTAGGACCATGGTGTGTAGGAGTTTGTGTTCAGAGCAAATCTCTGGCAAATGCTCCTTGAGTCATATAATATCCTCTACTAATACCTGTCATTTCATTTTTTGCGAGAATAAATTTGTTCAGTGATGTTTACTTATCTGTGATCTTCATGGCCCGAATTTAACATTAGCAATAGTGAAAATAATTTCTAAAATGTTTTATGTAGTAAGCATTTTCCTCCTCAGGGAAACACACTAGTATGTTTACCAATCCAACTTCTTCCTATAATTAAACTTTGATTTTTTTTTTCTCTCAAGTTTCTCTTCTGAGTTAATGGTCACACATGAATTCTTGGGCACAGTTGCCCACACAGGTGTTTGAAATCAAGAGAAGCTTCCCGGCCCATTGAGTTGCCTTTGGGACAGGATGTAACTTATTTGCCCCCTGAGCTCCAATGGTGGTGTTCTTTCCCATTGCAGGACCTGCGACCACTGAGCTGTGAGTACAAGATGGAAAATATAACCAGGATGGTGGTATGTGACCTTGGGAACCCTATGGTGGCTGGAACAAATGTAAGAGAAAACCAGAAGCCCTTACTAAGTTCTAATTGAATTTTAAAGAGAGCTAGTACAAAGCTCCCCAATTAGCACTCAGCAGGTTAGCACCTGGCAACTAAAACAAATTAGGCAGGAAATTAACAGGGTGGTGGCTTGAGCATTCTATCCTATACAGGGTAGGGAATCTGAGGTTAAAAACACAAAAAGATGAATACTTCTATATGCTTTCTCTTTTGACTTTACTCTTACATGTCTTTTAGATGCTTTATGAAGATGTTTTTGCTGAAGATTTTCTCTTGGGATATTTTTTCTTTGACTGTCACTGCAATTTTTCCTTTGTATTCAGTAAATGACTTAAGAAATAACAGAATTAAAGATTTTAGCAAGGAAGATTAGGCTTTTATTTTTGACATACCTCCCATATAATATCATTCGCAGTATTTTTATATTAAAATGTTACCATAACCCAGCTTTTGAGTTAGCTTTACCAGGTCTATGTTTTCCATACATTTTAATTGAAGAATAATACAGAAAATTGTAGCAAGAAAAACAAAAGAGTTAATAATGATCTGTAATGTGCTTTTGAAAGAATAAGGAGATGTTTGTCTTCTTCTTCTTTTTCTTTGTTTCCAGGTTTAGGAACTTTTCATTCAGGATTACTTGTGGATAATAAGTTTATTTTTTTCAATAGCCATTTAAGTACACATAGTAACTTCTTGTAATAAATATCTCAGTGGCAATACTTATGAAGTCATAAATCGGAAAAAATTCTGAAACCTGCAAATACTGCATAATTAAATGTTGTATAAACTAAACATACACATTCCTGTTTTAAATTAGATATTTATGATTATCAATAAAGTGGCCTATTTGAAAAAAATTTCATAAAAATTTATAATTGCATAGGTTTGTATTAGTATAGCTTCCCAAAATATATTCCAAAGAGTACCGATCGCTTGAGATAAAGGGGAGTTCTGTGGTTAATGCTGAGTATCATATCCTCCTCTGGGGCATTCACATGCACGTTTGCATTTTAAAGGTGCTGAGAAGTCCTGCAGTAAATAAACTTTTTAGCCCAGGATCTCTCACATGTGTTTAAGCATTTGAAACTATCAAGAAATACCTATTCCCAATTTATACTTTAGGGTATTGTGCTAGAATAATATTTTTGCTTTTCTACGCCCTAATAAACTCTATTCCATTGATCCCAGGTATTTATAAAGTGTGCCAAGCTATAGTCTAGTAAACTCACTTGTTGGGTCAAAAAAAGTAAATATTTAAATGAAAGATAAAATTTTATAACAGATTTTTATTAGCTAACATGTACTAATTGCCCTCTGTGTTATAAGCCCATCACTGGGTGCTCTTTTATGTTATCTCATTAAATTTTCAAAACCAACAATCCCATGAGTTGAGTATTTCTCCTAGGTTATAGGTGAAGAAACTGAGAAATGTTAAATAAATTTCCCAAAGTCACACAGGTATTGAATGACAAAACCAAGGTTTAAACCAGGACTGAACACAAAGTCCATGTTCTATCTGGTTGTCAAAATTGTGAAAAGTACTTGGATAAAAACTAATGAATAACAGATGAGATGAGATTTTTAAACGAAGCCATGAAAGATAGAATGGGATTTCTAAGCTGAGATGTTAGAACATTTTTCACTAGAATCCTTTTATCTAGAAACTAATAAGTCCTTTTGCTAGTTTTCAAGAAAAACCCAACCACCTAGTTTGGTGTAGAGAAGAGGTCTACCCAAGGCCAAAGAGGAAGAAATTGACATGGTAGCGGCAGGGTTTGCATCTAGAGGTGACCAGGCGCTCATTCCTTTGTCAGTATTAAAAGTGTTAAATCTAAACCAGAGATCATCTAAGATCATTAATAACTAAGAATAATCTTGGAACAAAAATTGGCCACTGGGGACATTCCAAGTGGAGGGTAAAAATGGCAGTGTGGTCTTAACCACATATGTGTTTATGTGACAGGATGTCAATCCATTTTACCAGCAAATAATTTTTGGAAGTCAAGGAAGTAAATTGTTTGTATTCATTTATCTGTGAGGTCTGTAGTGGAAGAAACCTAATAGCTTTCTTATCTCGCCCTTTAATGCCCTTAAATACATCAAATTTTATTGCATTCTGTTTTGTTATAAAACATTTTGATTTATTTACTTCTTCATTTTGTACTTAAAAAAAAATAGTCTCAGTGGATTGTAGTAAAATTCCAAATGTAAAAGCAGTCCTAAATATTAAAAAGCCTCATAAATCACCAGGACCATTTATTTTAGTCCCAATATTTAAAAAAAAAAAAAGTTTTCAAGAGACTTTTTATTTTAATTTAACAAAACATTAAGTTAATATTCAGAAGTATTACTTCTGATTTATAAGTAGTAATGTCATTTTCATGTATTATCTATAGGTACCAAAAAGGATTCATAAAAACTTGCAAAATCTCTCAATCAGGAAAACAAAAAAGTAGTGGTCCCACAGAGGTTCTTTAGAATCAATGCCCAGAGATCTGGTGTTCGGTTCTAGCTGAAAACACACGGGTCTCCTACCGATACAAAATTGTCATATCATTGTTGTATCTTTGTCCCAGGATGAATTGTTCTATAATGAAGACCAACATTAGCCAGGCTTCATCCCAATACAGTAAGATCCCCATCACTGGAACTGTGCAAACAACAGCACACTCTTTCACATCATTCTTTCAACCATCTTTATTGTACCCCTTCTACATGCCTGATACTAAGCTCTTCTCACAACATCAAGATGAGAATATACAATCCCCATTCAATAAGAAACTCGAAATTAGCAATATCAGAGGTTGAGTGATAGGAGAGTAGCAAAGAAGGAGATAGGGAATAAAGAGAAAATTTCTGCCTGACCTGACCTGTGGGACCAGACAGTATATTGCAGGAGGATCTTTTGTCCTGAGCTTTGAAGCATGAGTAGAACCTCTTCAAGTAGAAAAAGCAGGAAAAGTTTTAAGAGGTTTCCAAAGAAGAGAAGAGTTTATGTGCAAAGTCCCAGAGGTCTGACCGAAAAATCGCACATTTGTCATAAAGGAATTCATCGTGGCTGCAGCGTAAGGATTCATGGGCTTAATAATTAGAAACACCTGGGTTTGAATCCCAGCTTTGCCATTTATCAGCTGTGATACCTCAGACGAGTCGCACTGAAAGGCGAGAAGCCCCATGTTTAGGAATATTTGGAGCAGTGCAATTATATGATGTATATAAAGCCGCTAGGGCAGTTCCTGGCTGGTAGCACAATCAGTAAGGGCTAGTTAAATAATGATGATAATTTATGATAAAAATTAAGATTTACTAGTTCATATTATTACTGGTTCATATTAACACGAGTTTTTAATCACTGATTGGATTCTCATAGCTTAGTAGCCAAGAAGAGTACAGGTGCCAGAGTCAGTTTGCAGGAATTTCAATTCCAACTCTACAATTCACTTGCTGTGCACCTGGAGGAAGGAACTTCATCTCCCTAACCCTCAGATTACTGCTCGATTGTAAAATGTCAGCAATCACAGTACCTACCTGTGGGGTGGTTGTCTCAATTATGTGAGACAAGGCATGTAAGGTTTACCACAATACATGGGAGAGTAAGTCATACAATTGCTTAGCTCTTATTTTCACTTCCTTATTTATATTGTCGTTGGATTTATTTTCCCCAACGTTTTAAAAATCTGTCCTCAAATTAAAAAAAATAATAAGAACGGCTTTAAAACTTGAGAAAATAAAGAAAGGTGGAAAAAACAATCCGTACACTCATAACCTTAATATAACCATAGCGTGTTATTCTGGTATATTTTCTTACCATACACCCTCACTCCTGTACAGTAATTTTTCCATCGATAAACTTTTAAAACAATAGGTGAAGCACGTTGCACATACAACTGTGTAACCTGTTTCTTTATGGGCCATCATTACATTAGAAGCATTTTCCTCATCTGCATAGACTTCACAGCCGTAATTTCAATGACTACCTAAATGTGCATCAAACACAGGCATTACTGTTATCCAAATCAATCATCTCTCCTATAATCAGGTTGCTTTTAATTTAACGCATAGGAAGGTGGCCAGAGAAGAGTTTGTACGGGGCTAAATGAAGGGAAGGAACCACAATGTATGGGGACTTGAATTGTCTGGGCTCTGCCATCTTAGTTACATGACTTCCTCTCAGCAACCCAGGGCGGAAGCAAAGAAAGGGACAGTAATCTAGGGGGCGGGGATTTGCAGAGATGACCTAAAAAAGATTTTTACGCTGTGTAGAAAGTCCCTCCCTGTCATAAACCTAGTGTCTTGTGATTTTTTTTCTTCTAGTATTCTCTGGGCCTCCGATTTGCAGTTCCACGTCTTGAGAAAACAAACATGAGCATTAACTTCGATCTCCAAATCAGAAGGTTAGATTTTTAAGTGCCTAAAATTATGGTCGGCATTCAATATAGAGAGTGAAATGAATGGCCACTCTTCAAGCTCCTTAACCTTAAAAGTTCTCCTAAAATTAGAACCCAGACTTTCACAGCTCGTTTTTCCTTTGTTTCTGTTATTTCAGTTTTGTAATTTTTAAATTAATTATTATTATTATTATTATTATTTTAGAAAAGAGACCTATTCTATAGGCCAAGTTATTTTACTAAAAATTTTGTCCTGGGTACCCTCCCACTCCCATTTACCTCCATTTTTCCTCATTCTGATTCACTTCCCTTCTCCCACCCTCACCAACACCCCTACTACATACCCACCATGCTCTCAGCTGGGGGTCGGCTAATCCCTGAGAATAAAATTTTTGCAAAACAGCATAGATTATGCATTTGCAATCTTGAAATCTAATTCTTCAAGAATCAATGAGTCTCTGATAGTTTCATTGTGAGCACCACGGCAGGAAGCAGGTGTGATCATATATTCATTCAGAGCCTTCATTCAGGGCCTTTTCTGGTAACTTCAAGCCAAAGCAGGTAAGTAGCTGCCCCTTTTTCCTAAGACTGACCCTTTACAGATGTTCAAGTGTAACTACTTTTTCACTGTCTCTTCTGTTTGCTCCTTCATGGCCGAAAATAATATTTAATGAGTGGGAAGACTTGTAGGGAGCAGTGTGCAGGAAAGCCCAACTGTGGACTTCAACCCGTTAGACAGTAATGGGATCAATTTAATGGCCCCGGGCCAGTATTAAAAGAAAAGGAGATTGAATAGAATGTAATATACCAGAGTCCTGTTCATGAAACAATCCAATTAGATAAATATAAATGTGTATCGTAAGATACCCTGTGAAATGTATATATTTCTTTTGTGGTCTGCAATTTTAAATGTCTGAACAACATTGATGTAAACAGCATATGTTCAGTGTGGTGGACCCTTATTCTAACTATAACACAACTCTGAAGTCCGTCTTTACAGTTTGGTTCTCAAATACTAGTGTGCAGTGTGACTCAATCTCTAAACTTACCTTCTGTCCTGTAAGAAGTGATTGGAGAGTGTTGACTTTGTGCAATGGATTACTTTTTAATAGCTACTTTGATTAAAGGTTTAGAGTTTTTTAAAAGTATATAAGCTCTATAAGAATATAGCAGATTTTTAAAATCTACAACCTAGGGGAACCTGGATTGTCAGGTTCAGACAACTGACTCTTGGTTTTGGCTCAGGTCATGATTTCAGGGTCCTGAGATCAAGCCCCGCATTGGGCTCCACGCTTAGCATGGAGTCTGCTTGGGATTCTCTCCCTCTCCCTCAGCCCCTCCCATTCATGCTCTCTCTCTCTCTCTCAAAGAAATAAATCTTTTTAAAATTTTTTGAAAAATCTACAACCAATATCACAAACCACATCCCCTAAATTTATGATAGATTTCTAAGAAGGAAGGTCTCCTCACTTACCTTAGGTCCTTTTCTGACCCTAATTAGGTCTTTTTTAAAATTTAACTTACTATTTTCTGCTAGAGATTTTTAAAAATTTTACCCATCTTAGTGATGAGATGCAGGCAGAATGAATTCTGTAATATCATTTTACCAAAAGTTTATTAAATCACTTCTTTGTATCAATATAAATGTATATCTTCCAAAAATTTCAGGTAGTCCTAAATATTTTCATTTGGAAAGTATCTGTAAGTTTTCAGAAAAAAAGAAAAAAAGTAAAGGCACTCCATAGTGAGGACCACCATCATTCCAGACGGTAGCCTGAAGTTTCTTTTTCTCACCCTTACTGTCTGTGACATTGGTCCTGCAATGGCATGAAGATACATCTCTCATGAAATATAAACCCTTTATTTAGAAAGAAAATCTGGTACAAAGATGTAAAGCAAATTCCTTGACACATCCTTCTTACTTTTGATTACAGTTACAGGTAATAGAATGAATGCAACTAGTAATTCACTCAAGGAGCAAAGGACACCAAATGACGTTCTAAATGCCTTCCCCAGATCCATCCTGGAGATCATCATTCAAATAGTGAATTCAGCAATGAAGTGCTAAATTTGATGGAAACTAGAAATGGCCACATTTTAACATCCCCCTTCATCTAAAAGAATGGACAGTGATTATATTCTATCCTTACATGCTATAGAAACTCATGACTATTTTAACATTATCCTGAAAAATATATATATAAATGCAGAAATGAAGAAACAGAAGGGCTACAGGGACATACATAAACCATCAAATTCCCAAAACAGACATTTCAGAGATGAAAATGCTTGAGAATACTTAACACTGAGGTGAGCATTTATCTACATGCTTTGCTGGCAGACTCCAAGGACATAAATAAGTATTTAATGGACAGTTTGCATTCAATTTAAATGTGTTAAAACCAAAAATAAATTAAACCAAATGCTCTGAAGTCTAAATTCTTAAGCTTTTGACCACATGGACCACTGTTACCCACATTTAATGTCCTTTTCCACAAACAGAACCCAAAAGAGAAATGGGGCTTTATTTATTAATAAACTTAAAATAGTTCATGTTACCAGATATTTGCATTAAACAGTCTCTTCACACCGTGGCTCTGTGTGACATGTAAACGTTCTCCTCCCTGACTACAGTGGATCTCAGATCTCAATTCCCACACACAAATAGGTCTTCGTGATGTCATTGACATTGCTTCCTCGGCCGTGGTGAAATGAACATTGTATTGTATTTGCTGACGTTCCAAAGACCACAGAAAGCACAGAGGGAATGTTAGAAAACAGAAAATAGGAAACAGTATGGAAAAAGAAAATAGCATCGGAGCAATAAGTAAAAAACATATTTATCCTTGGTGCATGACATAGGGTGTAGTCATGGAGAGGAAATCCATCATTCCTGCATAGAACTAGCAGCAACAGTATAAATAGCTCAGCGTCCAGGGCAGTGGGTGATGGATGGCTTGTTTGAACGTAGCAGTGGTATTAGCAAGGGAGGTTTCCTTCCAGGAAAGAGGTCAAGGAAGCATCTAAGTTATATATCAAGCCCAGTGCCTTTCTTACCAGGACATATTGTTGATACCACTGGTTGATTATAGCACCAAGTGTCATGACAAGGCTGTGTGACAGAGGACGATTTTGAGTAGCTAGCCAGATCTAGTCTCCACATCTGCCTTTGCTCTCATTACTTTGCAAAATAGCCTCTGTCAGCTTCAGATGAGACTTCTGTCCGAAGGCGATTTCAGTGCCTGACACCTATTTACATTTTCAGGGTGTTGTGAGTAAAGACAATTGTGTCATTTCAACCACGTGGAAACAAAATGCAATGACATTATGGGACAGCTTAAATGAAACTTTTTTTTCTTAATTTGTATATCCACTGCTGCAAAGCAGTGAGAACTAGAAAATTGAACCAAGTCTGGGTAATGTGTGGAACAATGAGACTTAAATTTCTAAACTAAAGAGTTTTCCGTCATGCATTTGGAACTACACAATGTGCGACAAGTAGAATTACTTAATGACTTCTTGCTGGTTAGCAATTCAGTAATTAAAATACAAAACCAAACCAAACCAAACAAAAAACTCTACAGTTGACTGATTTTCCCCAGATGTGATAATAATAAAGTGGCCTGGAAACTGGGGTTCAAACTTTGATGAACAAGTCCCCCTAGACTCATCACAAGGTTAGCCGTGATGCCCCATGACAGGAAATGAGCCTGACATTGGCCTGTTTATATCTTTTATGTGTGTTTGTGGTTGAAGTGGCCTTATCAGTATATACAATCAGACAAGGCTTTTCAAAAAGCATTGTGGGAACGATTCTGTCTCCTCCTCCTTTGAAAGCCGGCTCTTATCATTTCTCCAGCTCCCACATTTGGAAAGCTTCAAAAGCCAGTCAGAACATACCCCATTACCACCACTGCAGTGTGAAAGCTTGTCATTGAATCTGCATGAAAGTCGATGATGAAAAGAGGAGGCTTTCTCTTCTTAATGAGACCTGGATATAAACATGACCTGTCCGTGGTGGTGTGGCCACATCTGTTTGCTGAAAGCTGCATTATCTTTGGGATATGAGGGTGACTCTAGGGAAAGCACAATGGGGTTATAAAAGCAAATGGCGTCTGCATTCAAAGCTCAGCTAGTGGTCCGGCCTCTTGTGAGAACATGTTTCATTTTCCTGACAGGACTGGATGCTTAACATGCATTTTTTTAAAAATTAAATTTCACATGTAGGCACACCTGGGTGGCACATTCAGTTAAGCGTCCGACTCTTGTTTTCGGCTCAGGTTCGTGAGATCGAGCCCCACCTCGGGCTCTGTGCTCAGCATGGAATCTGCTTTGAGTTTCTCTCTCCCTCTCCCTCTGCTCCTCAATCCCCCCACACTCTCTTTCTCTAAAATAAATAAAAAGTCTTTTTAAAAAAAATTAAGTTTCATAGTAATTGTATTTGCTTGAGAGGAAAAAAAACAGCAGACTTAAAAATAATTTTGCCACTGTTCAAAGAAACATTATTAAACACGCACTTTCTATCCTGAGATTCTTGATGCACTTGACAACATCTATGTCATCTCCTAATTGCCTTGGCATGAGCTGCCCAAATTCCTAGGGTCTTGCTTCTTCCCGCCATTGGCTAAGCTTTCAATTCACTCTCGCCCCCCACCCTAGTCAGCCAGTGAGCGTGCAGTGAATGTACATTTATTTTAATATTACTGCAGAAATAAACCATAAGGAAGATAAATTTGCTGCCAAAACAATGTATGGTGTGATGCATTCCAGAGCCAAACACAAACGCTTTTTCCATTATGTGCTGCTCTTGGATTATCCATGCTAGTTCTCTTCTTTATTAGCATGGAGAATCAGGAGTTGACTGTGCTGAGGAAGGCCTTTCCCATTTAATGGGCAATGAACTTGATGCACAGAGAAGTAAGGAATGTGTCCAAGGTAGAAGCTGGAAAATGAACTCAGCTCGCTGCCTTCTTGGTTTAGCCATTGAAACAAAAAAGCGTTAGCTTTTCTAGATGGCTGTTATGTTTTCAGATAAGATGTCTTTCACGGAAAGTTATTACGTTCCTTTTACTCATAAAGAATCTTAGCATTTCCATTTTCAAATGGTTATGATTTTGTAGAATGGATATGCCATTGTTTTCTGAATGATTGTGTTAGTAATGTTTGTTGTTCTTTCGATCTACAGAATGTTTTTTATGATCGTATATTGTAACATGTCTGAAAAAATATATTTAAATCATATTGCCCTTGTGTTTTAGTTCCAACAGGGACAACCCAGACAGCAATTTTGTGAGCCTGCAAATCAACATCACTGCTGTAGCTCAAGTAGAAATAAGAGGGTAAGTAATAATCAAGGCATTGTAGTAGTTATACTGTAATAATAGCTTTAATTATGACAAAACACTAGTAAAAATTATACAGAATTTTCCTAATGCATTAGCAATCACAATTCATTTTGGTTATAAATTTTCATTCTTTTCGACCCATCATTCGACTTCCATTGAAAACTAGAGTAAACCCTATATGGTAATTAACTCAAAGGATATCAAAACAAGAGATCACTTTATTCCCCAAACTGACAGGTCAGTAATGAGACTATAAAAACTAGTGATAAGAAGTCAGGTAAAATCGACAAACCTGTGATTGCCCAAAACTCTCACTTCTCCAGTAATTATTTCGGCATAATGAAAACTCAGCCTCATCATACTACATCCTGAGTTGAACAAATGGCTAACTCTTAGATGTGAGGGTTTCTGGGATTTACATTTTATGTCTTTTTCCTTCTGTCCTTTTCTTCGAAGAAGGTACCAATATGCAATCAGCTGAGAGACAGGAGGACAGTGCTCAAGGAAAAGGCTTAGAATAACTACCATCTTGGGAAATCCATGCCTGGGGGAGGGAGGGAAGAAAATAAATTAGGAATGTACTGTCTGTAGTTCTCTTATGCGAGTGTGGACTCCAATGATTTTATTGTAATTCTTATTTCTTCAGGACAATCAAAGACTTGGCTAAAAACGTCAACTGGTATTCTGGGCTGAATTGTCATTGGGCTCCAGCAACCCCAGTTCCCTTTCCTTTTCCACAGTCCTGAGTGGTTCCTGCTCCTCCATGATGGCAACTGTAGCCCCTGCAGTCAGGGCCATGGTCTTCCATGCATCCTCTCACTGCTGCCCCCTGCTGCTCTCAATGGGAGGAGCCCTGCCTGCCCTCCTGGGACCAGTGAGGCTCCGCCTAGTGGATTAGAGAAGAATAATAATACCTAGTGCGGTTTTGATCCTTCCAGGTGCTACCCCAGCCCATTAGCACATCTTAATATGTACCAGTATCCTCGCTGCACGGGTGAGGAAAATTTGGCACAAGGGGCTGAAGGCTACACAGCTAAGGCGTGGGGAGCTAGAATACAAGTCCAGGCAGCCTGTCTCCAGGTCCTTTGTTATAAATGATCATGCTACGTAGCCTATGAGAGAGTCCTTTGAACCTTAGCTACACAAAATCTTGTTTTATTTATGCTTCTGTGATATTTTTCAGTCAAATGAATGTTTTTGACATTCACCCACTTTTAGGGCATGGGCCTATAGTTCATTCATTTTAGTTGCAGAAGAGTTTAATATTGTAAAGCTACACCACACTTACTTACCCATTCTACCCCTGATGAACACGTGGGGGTTTTCTTTTTCCTTTTTTACTTTTCTTTTCCTTTTTTACATACTTCCTTGTACCTGTCCTCTGGCACACATGTGGAAGAATGTCAGAAGGGTACCTGCTTAGAGGTAGAATTTCAGGATCAGACAGTGGACACTATTTAACTTTATTAAATAGTACCCAACTGGTTTTCAAAATAATTATACCTACCTATTGTTCCACAAGACACGGAGGAAAGTTTTCACTGTTACACGTTATCAACTAACTCACAAAATGGTCGCAATTTTCATTTTGAGCCAATCTGATGGATGAGAAATACTCTCTAACTCAAGGTCCAATTTGCTGTTCCCTGATTCCTAAATGAGACTGAGTAGCTTTTTCATGTGTTTGTTGTCTCCATTCTTCCCACATTGGGTAATTTCTGCTCATTTTTTAGGACATTTCTACGAAGAGACTTAATTGTTTCATAGTAATTCATAGGAAGGAACTCTTTCCTATTCTAGAGTTGAGACACTAATCCTTTATCAGCTACACATGTTGCAAGTACCTTTTCACAGTCTATGGGGTTTGATGCGTGTGCGTGTGGTTTTTTTAAGTCAGGTTTATTGAAGTATAAATTAATAAAGTAAAACTTACCCTTTCTTTAGATGTTCAGTTTGAAGCATTAAGATACCACAAGGATGTTCAATGTAAAACAGTTCTGTCACCCCACATAGCTTCTCATGCACCTTTGTAGTTAACCCAGCCCCCACTCCCAGGCTCTGTCAACCTTGATCAATCTTCTGTCACTATATTCCCAGAAAAATCATATAATTACACTCATACAGAATGTAGCCTTTTGAGTCTGGCTTCTTTCACTTAGCATAATGCATTTGAAAAAACACCCATGTTCTTACATGTATCAGTGGTCTTTTTCTTTTTATTGTTGAGAAGTATTCCACTGTACAGAAGTCCCACAGATCGTTCGTCCATTCACAGGTTGGTGAACCCTCGTGTTGTTTCCAGTTTGGGGCTCTTAATAATAAGCCTGCTACTGGCTTTCACATACAGGTCTTTGTTGGGATATTTGTTTTCACAAATGGAGTTGAGCTGTATGGCAAGGGTATGTTTAACTTTATAAGAAATCGCCAAGCTGTGTTTCAAATTGGCTGTACCATTTCCAATTCTCATTCCCACTAGCAGAGTGTGAGTTCAGTTGCGCTGCACGCTTGCAGGCATGGGCTTGAGGTTTGTTTTTGTTTGTTCGTTTTTAGCCATTTTAGTAAGTGTGCGAAAGTATCTCTTTGAGTTTTAATTAGCATTTTCTTTTTTTTTAGATTTATTTATTTGTTTGTTTGAGAGAGCGAGAGCTCAAGTGAGCACACAGAGGGAGAGGGAGAAGCAGACTCCCCGCTCAGCAGGGGGCCTACCGACGAGGCTCGATCCCAGACCCTGGGACCAGGACACGAGCCGAAGGCAGACACTTAACCGACTGAGCCACCCGGGCGCCCCTAATTAGCATTTTCTAATGACTAGTGATATTGAGCATCTTTTCACTACTTATTTGCCCTTAGTAGGCTTTTTTGAAGTGTCTTTTAAAATTTTGCCCATTTATATTGAGTTGTCTTTCTTATTATCAAGTTGTAAAAGTTCCCTGCATACTCTGGCTACAAAATTATTTATCAGATATATGTCCTGCAAACATTTTCTCTCAGTTTATGGTTTGGCTTATTATTTTCTTAACAGTGATGTTCCAAAAGCCAAAGTTTTTAATGTGCATGAAATCCAACTTTTAAATATTTTATAGTTTGCCCTCTCTCTTCCTAAAATAAATAAATAAATCCTTAAAAATAAATAAGTACACAAATACATAAATAATTATGTATTTTATAGTTTGTGCTCTCTTTGTCCTTTGTAGAAAAATTCTTCACTTTGCCCAGAGTCACAAGACTTTTTTCCTATGTTTTCTCCTGCAAGTTTTACAGTTTTACATTTGGTCTGTGATACCGCGTTTGTATCTGGTGTGAGGTAGGGTCCAAGATTCACTGTGGCCTAAGAATATCCAGTTGCTGCTATGCTGTTGGCTGGAAGACCATCTTCCCCCCCACTGGATTACTTGACACCTCTATCCAGCTGTGAGGCTCCTTCCATTCTGTTCCACTGATCTACATAATAAGTCTTGAAATGCAAGCAGTATCCTGAGATCTTGATAAACTTGCTTACAAATTCTAGCAGCTTTATTATTTGTTGATTTCCTAAAATTTTCTATAGCATTGTCATTTCGTCTGTGAATAAAAAGTTTGATTTTTTTTCCTGACTAATCTAATCTGTATGTGCGAGGGTTTAGCCAACTACTGAGTTAGAGGGAATAGAACCCACCAGAGATTACCCTTACTTCTGATACAAATTGCAGAGTTGTGTGCTTCCCAAAACCACCCCAGGGTTGATAAATCACTTAGAAGGACTCACAGAACTCCCTGAAAGCTATTATACCCATCAGTACAATTCATTACAGGGAAAAGATAAAAATTAAAATTAGCCAAGGGAAGAAGTGTGTAAGTCAGAGCCTGGGGCAATACCAAACACAAGACTTCTGTTCTTATCTGCCATGGAGCCAGGACATATTACTTTCCTTGTATGGATATATAGCAGTATGCATGGAGTCTCCCCAGGTGAGGAAACTCCCCAAGTCTCAGTGTTCACAGTTTTTATTGGGGATCCACTACGTAGGCATGAACAATTGATTGACTGACCACTTAACTGATCGCAGTCTCCAGGTTGTCTGGTATGATGCGATCAAGCTCCCACCCTGACTCACACTGTTAGTCTTTCTGATGTGGGCAACCCCCATCCTAACTCATATTGTTAGAATATCCAGTGTGACCCAAAACCCCCAGAAAAACAAAGATACTTCTTTCAGGCATAAAATTTCTAGAGCTTAGACTACCTCCCAGAAGCTGAGGGCCAAGGCCACACCACTTTTGGGAAAAAGTTGTTTACTACATAGTTATGCCTTTTATTTCTTTTATTTTTTTTTTCTGTATTTCTTTTTCTTCTCTTACTGCACAGACTGGGAGTGTCAGGGCAAGATTGAGTAGCCTTGGTACAAGAAAACATCTTTGCCTTATTTTTAGATCCTACCTTGATCTTAAGGGGGAAACATTCAGTTTGTCTTTCAAGGAATTTGTCTGTTTCATCTAAAGTGTTACATGTATGGCATAAAGTTGCTCATGATAGTCTCTCATTTTCTTTTTAATGTATATAGGATCTCATCATTCCCTGTACTGGCGATTTGTATCTTTTACTCCCCTCAATTATTTTCCCTGATCACTCTGGCTAGTTTAGTGAACTTTTCAAAGGACCAGTTTTTTTATTTCATTGACTTGTCTCTCTCTCTCTCTCTCTCTCTCTGTTTTATTTATTTATTTATTTATTTGTTTATTTGGAAAGAGAGCGCAGAGTGGATGGAGGGGGAGAGGGAGAGACAGAGTTTCGAGCAGGTTCCCAGCTGAGCGGGGTGCCCATCCTGAGGCTTGATCTCATGACCTGAGTCGAAATTAAGAGTCAGACACTCAACTGACTGAGCCGCTCAGGCACCCCTTTTTTCTCTCTTTGTTTGTTTGTTTTGCTTTCTATTGCATTAGCTCCTGCTTCTGTTATTATTATTTCCTTCCTTCTGTTCACTTTGGGTTGGATTTTTCCTTTTTCTCATTCCTCTAGGTAGAAATTAGATCATTGGCTGGAGACCTCTCTTCTTTTCTTACACAAGCATTTAGTGCTGTAAATTTCCTTCTAATTGCTTGAGCACATACCAAAATGTTGATATGTTGGGTTTCACTCACAGTGTTTTCTAATTTCCTTTGTGATTTCTTCTTTAACTCATGAGTTGACTCATGAGAAGTGACCTGTTTGATTGGTAGATATTTGGAGCTAATCAAAATGTTTCATTTGTGGGCATTTCTTATTTAATTCCCCCACCCTTCTCACTGAGAAAAACACTTAAAAAAAAAAGTCAGAGAAGAAATAAGCATTTCTTTATTATCTTATATCTTTTAACATTTACAACTAGTGTATATGAAGTTTTGTCTCTTTCATTAAGCTTAGTTTATCTTTGTTTTGCCAAAAATAAATTGAATCTGTTTTTTAATCCCAAAGCAAATTTTAAATTGGGAACTGTTTTTATTCCATAAGACAACTCAGTCCAAGGTAGCAGAGGGTGCAATGTAGCTGTATTTATTCTTATATATCTATTTTATAAGATAAATATTTATAAATATATTTCTGCCATCATTTATAACACCAATATTTCTCAGTTAAAAAAGAAGGAAATTTTCTATTCATGTTACCGATAATCAAAACAGGTAATTAAAACTGGGTTTCTGGTATGGGTGCAATTTTTTAATTGCTAGATTAATGTCCAACAATTGACCACAGTTTATTCTCTAACACGGGGTTAGAGTTCTTGTTAGCCATTTTGCAAAGTAAAACTCTTTACTCCAGATACTCAACAAAAATATTGTTTTCAATGTTTAATTCTTCAAGGAACAAACAGCTACTGTGTTGAAAATCTTCCATGCTCAGTCTTCAGAAAAATCTCTTTTTATTTGCCAGTTGGTTTATTCCAATGTATTTTATCACGCACAGTCTCTAGCAGTTCTTACTCAGTTTAATGTTGTTTTTATCATTTTAAAAATAAACTCAAATGGATTTATTCCTTCAATGGGAAAAAAAAATACTGAGAATTATTCTACTTATTTCAAAGCCAGATGGTGTCAACACTGTCTTTCAGCAGACTCCCATGTCATTTGTTGGTACAGAGGATTAACTTAGCGTTAAGTCTGTAGGAAGTAAATTTGGCCACAAGAGACAGCACCACGTGCATCGAGCTCATGAAGAGTAATAAACTTGTGCCCCTTTCATATAATCAGGATTGAGTGGGTTTGATCACAGGACACTGCAATCATAAACAACCATGGTCTGTATAGATGCTGGCTATGGTGGGTAGAACTAACATTGTTCCAGACAATAAATAGTAGTCTGCTATTTGGGGCTTCTAGTGTTTGATAAAGGGATTATGAAAATAGGGTTCAAACTGTACTACCACAGCATTGGATTTGTACTTCCGATAGCATATAGATTTTAACTTATCAAAAACCTAAATCCTTACTTCCCTAATCCTTTCCTAATGTCTAGTGTTATCATTGATACCCCAATCTTCTTATCCCTGGGCAGGGGGGGTCTCCCTGGAATAATGTTCTATCCTCCATCTTAGAATGTAAGCACTATTCAGTAAGAGCTGTTAGGGCTGTTTATCCTTGGCTAATAGTTGATTATATTCTTCCTTCCTTGTAAAAAAAATGATAATTTTGAAAACAGTGAACAATGTTTCACTTATTCATTTGGTATCTTCAGAGAGCCATTTTTTTCTCATGGTTTCCCCAGATTGGAAAAAGTCTTAGACAGTAGATAACTGAATTTTGTGAGCCGTAGCTTTTGAATGATTTTGCCATGATTTTGCCATGACCTATAATAGATTATCTTTTCCCTTACAGATTTCTATTTGATTTTGTTAAAGAAATGGGGCAGGAAGTTTCTTTAAGTTGTCTTTACTAAAATCACTGCTGCTTAGTGGCCCCTGTGGTGCATTATACAGTCGACTTTTGAACAATGCAGGTGTTGGGGCACCAACCCCCTGTGCATGTAACTTTGACTCCCCCACAACTTAACTACCAGTAGCCTGCTGTTGACAGTAAGCCTTCCCGATAACATAAGCAGTTCATTAACACATATTCTGTATATGTGTTATATACTGTATTCTTACAACAAAGTAAACTAGAGAAAAGAAAATGTTATTAAGAAAATCATAGGAAGAGAAAAAAACATTTACAGTACTGTATCTTAGATGAAAAATCATATATAAATGAAAAAATCTGCATATAAATGAACCTGCACAGTCCAAACCTGTGTTTTTCAAGCGTCAACCATATATTGGAAATAGAACAGGCCTGAGTAAACCTGAACTGAAGTCTTCACCTGCAACTAAACCCTACTTTTCTGAACATCAATTTTCCTTTCATGTATTAAATGAGGGGTTTTGAACATACTGTCTCCACAGGACCTGTAAAGTTCTAACTATTTATGATTCTGTGGTACTGGGGCATTTATGACCAGTTCTCCAGGATTGATGACCATAAGAACAAAACTCTTCAGAGAAAATATGCTCAGCTTCTGCTCTGTATTTGTTCTCTATGCAAATAAATAAATAAATAAATAAATAAATAAATAAATAAATGTTTTCCCTAGAACCTCACATTGGGTGTGGAGCATGGAGTCAACTCTCTGTTGCCAAGCTAAGAGCAAAGTAAAGCTTTGGGTGCTTAGGTCGTGAAGACCCCACGGGGACAGAAGTCCAAACTCTCTGGGTTTCACTCGAATAAAAGTAACCTTCTGTGTTCTGTACTCTTCTCCTCACCAAGTCCTCAGTGTTTGACCTGAACATGATTTAATCAAATCAAGTCGGAAAAGGGAGCGTGACATAACAACAAGCCAATATAAGGGTCGGGGATGTTGAGGTATCAGCCCAGCAAGGCTGTGTTCTGCACTTGTAATTTAATAGTTGCCCATTAAGGATGAAAGCAAAGGGTTTCATAATTTAGTAGCATTTCTGTGTGTTGTCAGTTTAAAATATGTACTTCTTCCACACACCCCTAGAAGACAATGCAGCCAAAGTGACTTTGACCAAGAGCATTTGAGATGTTTTCCAATCATTTGTGGTATACAACCCGAAGAGTTTATCATAATTTTCCAGATGAGGAAATAGGGACACACAGAAATTAAATTACTTGCCCTTGGGTCAGTATTTAGCCCAATAAATTTTGCTTTCTGCTTTAGAAAGAGATTACTCAGAGGCAAAAATAAAAATAGCATTTGAAGTTGCTAGAGGCTGCGTTAATTACTGATGCCCTTAAAAGGGCATTTAAGACTTCTGATTGCCAAAAGAGGGATTTTCTGTTGACATTACTTTCAGCTGGAGGTCTAGGAATTCTTTTAAAGATACCGTCACCTAAAAATTGCTAGAAAAGCATTGTTCTTTTGAGAAGTATCCTTTTTAAGATTATATAAGAATAACAATTTGGTTTGGAACCAGCTTTTAATGTAGAATAATGCCATGTACTGCATTGCATTCAGCCAGTGCTCACTTTCTAGGTGTAAATTGTAGGCAAAAAATATGTTTGTGTCATGTTAATATCCTACTTACATGATTACATCATTTAACTGTCTCTCTGTCTCTCACCCTTGAGTTATCTAGAGGACAACTCTAGAGCTCGATCAGGCTTTATTTTGGCTCTGGGCCTGGCCTTGGGGGAGGTATGGCTGCAGTAATGGTAAGCAAAAGAAATCTAAGAAGTAGGAATATACAAGTGGCCACCTTTCTACTCTGAAGTATTTAATTCAAAACTACATTTCTTCACAACTCAACAGAATTCTAGATTTTTATCCACAAAAAAAGTCCCATTTCTTGATATGGCTTGAAGCACCGATTATATATCCTGTGTACACACACACCCACACACCCCCACACACACACTCTTACACTTACACGGGACCTACAGATAGATGTATACATTTATATGTCTATATGTTAAATTATCTCAACTCAGGGATGCTCTCTGCTCTGCCCCCTAGTGTCCAAGAGAGGAGATACTATAAAACAGTCAATCTCTGAGCTAGAAACCAGAATTTAAAAGCCTCGGGGTAGATGTTTCAGATCCCTTACTATTCCTTGAGTTATTTTGTTGAACATCACTTTCAATACCTTTTTCCATATAGACAGTATCTGTTCAAGTAAATTGCGGGCCCCCTTTTCCCATTGCTGTTAGCGAACCCTACGCTAGTGAAGCATTCTTCACCTGTGTCACCAGCAATTAACAAAACATTCTATGTTTCAGAGTATCCCACCCTCCGCAGATTGTTCTGCCCATTCGTAACTGGGAACCGGAAGAGGAGCCCCGCAAAGAGGAAGGAGTTGGGCCATTGGTGGAACATATTTATGAGGTAGCTTTTATCTATCTTAAAGTTGTGTTAGGAGTTTATTCTTACGCTCTTTACCAATAAACTCTTCATAGCATTTTAAAAGACACCGATCCAAGATCTGAGCTTAATATACTGCTTGGATTTGTGCTGTTATGCTGTCATATTGCAGTGGGGGGGAGGGCGTAGAGTATGAGTCACTTGCTTTTTAGTGGTGAGAGCCATTATGTAGTGAGAATATTTTATCTTGTTACTGTTCTCTTTTAAATGTTCCTTACGTCTCTTTTTTTTAATGTTTGGACAGCCTAACCATAAAAAGGACTAGCTCCCTGGACTTTATTTTGCCTCTTCCTACATTTTCAAATATCCTTAAAATCTACCCACCTCTTAAACTGAAAGTCACCAGCCAGAAGGTACCAGGCAGAGAAAATTTTATGGATTATTCGCTATGTACAAAAAAAAAAAAAACCCCACACATATAACACACACACACATGAACAACTTATTCTGAGATTTGAAATAGTCCGTTGATTAGTAAAATATTTTCCAGAAACAAACCAGAAGCTCATGAAAAAGCCATCTTCTGTTTGAGGTCCCTTCTTATTTACTGCTCTGTATCCCTTTCCAGTGTAAGTCATTCCACTGACCTAGGAATCCTGACTGTGACTTTCATCTTAAGCTACAAGGGACATGAATAGCATTCTCTAAGGTTAACAATGAAGTCATTTCAAAACTGATGAGCTGTGTACATATGTGGGAAAGAAGTGTCAACTCCTGCATAGCATCAACATGAAAACCTCTGTCATCTGCCCAACCTGTGGTTCAGAACCAGAAGCCCCATCCACAGCTGGATCAAAGCTTTGCCCTAAGCTCTCTTGATAGCAAAAGGATAACATAGTCCCCAAGGCCACTCGGATTAAGAACCTTGCTAGAAAAAAATGCTGTCAAATAATTTATTAAACCTTGTGTGCACCGGTTTCTGTTTAAGAATGGTGAAACTTTAAAGTTTGCAAACATATTCAAACTCAATCATTCTCAGGGCAGCCCTGCTTCTAATCTTAGCATAAACAGATCATAAAATTTTAGGGTAATAATCAGTGGTGACAAAAGCAATCATCACGTGTTTCCTACATGCTATTCTCATGCCTCAAAATATCCTGTTATCAGTGGATGCCATGTTGTTTTGATAATGTGAATTAAATGAGCCACCTAATAAGCAAAACCAAATTATAAATTGTTTTATTGATCATTATAATTATCAGAACTGTGGAAAAAAAAAAAAGACAAAAGTTCCCTGCTAACTTTGAAGTGAATTTTCAAAACCACAATAAATTTAAATACATTTCATGATTTTCCCAAGCTGTTTTTGTGTCCTGTGAGTACAGGATTCATGTGTTTAAAATGCTCATCTCTTTAGGAGATATGGCCTCTCTTTCTTTGATATTCACTGATTAAAACAGAAGGAGCTCAGCTTTGAAATGCGCACTTGAAGTGAACTGTGGTGAGCCTGGACTATCTTTGGCATTTGATGGATAACCATTTTTCCAGAGGGTGAAAGAGAGTGCGTCGCATATGGTTGCAACTGGCAAGTCAGTAGTCTGGGAAAAGGCAGATTTCAATGTAAAGAACGAATAACTAGGTTTTGAAAGCGTATCATTAAAATTGCATTTCTAGCCCTGCGATTAAATGAATATAAATTTTAGGTAAACATCGCAATGATCAGACATGGTTAATGTGGTCTTTGCTAAGAAGATCTGCCCTCAGAGATTCACAGAAGGAAGAAACCTCTCTGAGCAAAAGCGCCTCTTGTTTTCGGAGCTCCTCTTGCTTATATAGATTGTATTTTCCCATAGCCACCATCATAGCCCGGATGCGTTAAAACCCAAAATACGTGCTTTTTAGAATGGGTAGGAAGTACATGGAGCTTGATTTCATCTTCCTGCCTTGTCCTGCACCATTATTTGTTCCTTTCTTGTAGCTGCACAATATTGGACCGAGTACCATCAGCGACACTCTTCTGGAGGTGGGCTGGCCATTCTCTGCCCGGGACGAATTTCTCCTCTACATTTTTCATATCCAAACTCTGGGACCTCTGCAGTGTCAAACAAATCCTAATATCAACCCACAGGATATAAAGGTAGGAGCCTGGTCTAACTAGCTGTTTTGCCTGTTTTTTATGGTAAGAAAAAAAAATTAAAACTGTGGTTTATGTTTTTTAAAGCGAAGTAATTATAAGAATAAGTTATTTCGGTGATAATCTATACGGCCTTTTCTTTTAGTTTTATGGTTAAAATGCCAGGTCTTGGGGCACCTGGGTGGCTCAGTCGGTGAAGCATCTGCCTTCGGCTCAGGTTGTGATCCCAGGGTCCTGGGATCGAGCCCTGTCGTTGGGCTCCCTGCTCAGCGGGGAGTCTGCTTCTCCCTCTGCCCCTCCCCCTGCTCGTGCTCACTCGATCTCTCACATAAATAAATAAAATCTTTTTTTAAAAAAAATGCCAGACCTAACTTAAAATGTCACTCCTAGAAAACTTAAATTTCTCTTGGTTTTATTGTTCATGGTAACCTGTCATTTATCTAGCCTATTTTAATAGATACTTTTGCATATGGTTTGACTAGCAGCACAATAAAACCAAAATCATAAATAGACATGTCATGTTTTGGAGAATTTGTACAAAATTCCATTTTTAGAGTCCTTTTGGTGCATTGCCAAAAGATATAAGGATTTCTGCCAAGTGGGCTTTTCCAGATGTTGCCAATAGCAAGTGGTGAAATGCGATAATTTTCCAAAGGCCATCTCTGTGCCCCAAGAACCCCCCGACTGGAAATTTCTGGACCCCATGCTTTAGCACAGCTTATAGAGAAGCCGAGAGCATTTCAGATTCTCAAGCTTATCGAATCACCTGGGGGTCTGGTAAGAGGCAGGGTCTGGGGGCCCTAAAACTCTGCCGCTCTACAATCCCCACCTGACATCCACGCTGCTTTGCTGGTCACGGACTAGCCAGGAGTTCAAGTGTCCAAGGAGCTGATCTCATTCAGATTAAGATCCAAATCTGGCTTTAAGTTTCTTCTGGGAAGAAAAGAACATAATTAGCATAAACCCTTGAAAATGTCACATTTGAATGAAAAAAAAAAAAAACTTTTTAACCGGATGTTATCCTCAAAAGAGAACTTTATTTAAGAATCAACATTGTCTAGTAGCTCAGGGAGACAGTGTCTCTATTCGAGATGGAGCAAAGAACAGGCTTCATGAAATACTAACTCAACCATTTGGAACGCAGGTCTGCCTCTACTCTAACTGGGGGCACAGGGACATTGCCGGTTATGAAATGCTTTCTTCTTCAACCCAACATGGCTTCTAGTCCAAGGGAGGAAGGCTGAAAGGGGTCCAGTATGAAAGGATTTATAGGACAAGTGTCCTTCTTTATGGGGAAATAATAAATAAGGTCACAAAATTATTTAAAATACTTCCTCCCTGGAAATTTTTTTTCCACTTCCTCTCTCTTGGCTCTTCATTGAGACGATTTTAATATCTTCAAGGACAGTAGCTTATTATACAATAATAAATAGCTTATTATAAAATAAATAAAATAAATTTTTATTTAATCAGGGGGCGTCTGGGTTGCTCAGGCGGGTAAGCATCTGACTTTGGCTCAGGTGCCCCTAAGGCTAGTAATTTTAAAAATGCAACTTAATTATGCTCCTTTTATAAAACTCTCAATTTGTGGAAATTGAATATAACAAGATTTGATTACAGTATGAAGGAATAGCTCCCCAAAATGACAAATGATAGCAATTCATGAATTCTTGAAATTCAGAAAGTAAAAATTTCAGGTCCTCTGAGTACTTTTACTTATATTTAGTATGTATAACCCAGAGAGTCTAAAAGAGCTTTTTATCAATAAATATATTTTTAAAATTAATTATCAGTATATTTTACATAAGCAGCTACCAACAAATTGAGAATACTTGAAAATTATTTTCTTCTTAAGATAATAATTTATTGGTGAAGTCTCCATAAATTTACTTGGCAATTTATTTCTTCCTAGATAATACAAAGCTAAATAATCAATTCTCTGTCTTAAATATGAGTTGGAAATTAGTGAAGAATAAATTATTTATTGTATCTAGTTATCTTCAATGGAATAAGTCTGGGAAATTTTTTAACTTAGGTATCAATTTCAGATTCTTGCATCAAATCTAATTACTGTTTTTTATATAGATATTTAAAGATAAATATAGTTTTTTTTAATATAGATATTTAAAGATAAATATCTGTAGGTTTTTTTTTAACTTAGTTCTTTAAGAAGTAGAGAAAGGGTAGGTTTAATAAAAGGAACAAGGAGACAAAATACATTCATATGGGCAAAAAGTAAATCCTAGTAGGACGAGTGGGTGGCTCAGTCGTTAAGTGTCTGCCTTCGGCTCAGGTCATGATCCCAGGGTCCTGGGATGGAGTCCCGAATGCGGCTGCCTGATCAGCAGGGAGTCTGCTTCTCCCTCTCCCTCTGCCCCTCCCCCCTGCTTGTTCTCTCTCTCTCTTTCTAATAAATAAATAAAATCTTAAAAAAAAAAAGTAAATCCTAGCATTCGATCTTACCCACTAAGATAAAATTTCTTACGATTTGGTTCTACAGTTTCTTTATAAGCAGAGCAGTAATTAGTGAGTGCCTCTTGAAACATCTGTGTCTATGAGCAGGTCTACAGGTCTTTTCTGAGGATGCTCTAGGGCCCACTGGATGAGCCGCTGACATATCCCAGACCAGCTGCGGGCCTGTCAGAGGGAAAGCTCCCACCTCAGCTTTCCCGAGGATCCTCTGGAGGATTTTCAAGTTCTCCACCATGTTTGCCTCCCCAGCCATTCAGGTGATTTCCCCTCAGCAAAATGCTTTCTCTTCAGGTCACATATACCTTTTTGTCCACCCCCCCTCCCGTACATATTCTCATTTTTCCCCGCACGTAACCACTGAAAATAGCTCCCTCCTTCACTGCTTCTTTGCAGCTCCCACCAATGTCTAAGGAAATGTGCTGATGAAAAAGCAACTGTCCAGAGTTCCTTAGAAGCATTTTCTAGGCCACCTGCTCCAAGGAACCAATGCCACCAACTCTAAAACCTTTAAAATTCCCTGGATCCCTTCTGCAGAATCTCCACAACATCTCAAAATAATTCCTCACATCTGCCTAATTAAACCTATCAGCATTTAATAGAATTAATGTATTTAACACAATGTGGGGGAGGGTTCCTAATTTTTAAAAAAAATTACTCAGAGAGCAACCTCTTGGCTTTGCTTTTTATTACAAATACATAGTTTTATTCATCAAAGCCATATTGTAGATAAAGTAGGGTTTTTTTGTGGGCTGATCTGAAAACTGAGCCACCATTTAAAAGATTGTCTCTAAAGAGAAATGCATTCTGAGTGCCAAACATCTAGCCTCAAACCTTCTGAAATTTGACCCATCTGTATATTGAACAGGCATTCCAAATGTGACGCTCCTCACGTAAGTCTCCAAGTCCGATTAAGGCCGGAACGGGATTCACTTTTCACAACACTGACTGGTACAGCTGAGTTATCCCACCAAGTGACCCTAATGTCCCCAAGATCTGAATAGCAGACTACTTTTGAAAGCCACCACCGTGAACATAGGTATCAATGGGCCAAAGTTCTCACCCACATGTACCTCACTTGCTGCCCAAATACAGAGCATCAGTGACTAAACTGGGGACACACTCAGATGCCACCAGAAGTTTGTGAGTTTTTTTTATAAGGATTTTAAATTAGTTTTCTTCTACTGTCACTTACCATAAAATGGATACAAATAGATTAATCTGCCAATGGAAAACTGATAAATAGCTACAATTTTTCCCCCGTGACTTTATCACTGAAATACAGGTCACCTGCCTTGAAATAAGGCAAGAGTTTAAAGAAATGAGGACTTAAGTACTCATGACGTTTAAAAATATGATCTGGGAAACTGTGTCATTGAGATTGAGAAATAAGCATGTCTCTCCATGGCCTACCCATGCTGCTCTATGTTATGTACTATAATCGTTTGTTCTCAGCCTCATATCAGGCTTTGTGGGGATTCATTTAGCCTGCTCTGTTGCCACCGTTCAAACACCCCAGTGAAGGTAAATAGGAGCACGCGTGGGTGATGGGGTTCGGGAAAGGTGGGTGAGCCGCCCGGCCCCTGGTGGTGCCCGGCGCAGGCAAGCCGGAGGGTGGGACACTGCCTTGGGGACATTCCCTTCCGCTTTCCTTTTTACCTCCCCGTGAAATGACTGCTGTCTTTGCTTTTCTGTTCCTCCCATGATGGTTTCATGTCATCAGGTTCATTTTTCGGCCTTCTATGAACACAGGGGCATAAGCAGATGGCCATGAAGGTTCTGCCTCCAGGCTTCAGAGATAGAGGATTTTAATGTGGCAATTTCGGCACATTCTGCCATCTAAAACATTGTGAAACAGTCAACTGTCTGTAGCATTCTGGCCAATCCATTAAATCTAATTCATTCCAGATCCTTCTTGAAATAAAATTTTAGAGTCGAATAAAGTATTTCTCAACCACTCTAAAGGCAATAAAATAATGATTTCCAACTACCCATTATCTTATTTGGGTGGACTTTATCCTGGGATTTGGAGAGTCCTCCAGACAGGCTGTGATCTCTAGATAAGATGTAGTTGAAAAAGCCAATGCTATTAAGGAACCAAAGCTGCATAAAGAGTAAAGGACTTTTTTTTTTAAGTTGACAAGGTTTCGTCACGAACAGCCAAGCAGGAGAAGTGGGAGAAAGGGCTGTGGGATGTCATACTGTACCCAGGAGGGGAGGACAGGCGAGGTGTTGGCTTCAACCTGTGCTAGGATCACAGGACTATGTTCTGGGCCCCCACACTCAAGAAAGGAGCCCGAGGTCCACATGGTGTGACAGAGGCTAGACTAGGGCGACCTTAACAAGAGAGAAAGCCAATGTTGCGTGAAGAACGGGCTTTGGAGCCATGGAAGGCAGGAGGTTCCAACTGTCTCAAATGAGACCATTCTCACAGGAATCCCAAATTACAACCAGATAGCACAAACATGGAAGCAGAAACACAGGTACCATCCACCAAGCCCTGCAATTAGTTTTTGGGGTTTTTTGTTTTTTGT